ATTTTTAGTTTCGCGCTTACTATTTTTTTGCTTCACTAAGTCACTATGGATGCAATGTCTCATCTCTCTGAAAATAACTTTTGTCCCTTTAACTGGATAAGTCCTAGTTAGGCGCATTGTCATCTTTGATTTTTCTTGAAACTCATCAATCCACTTCAGAGCATCTTTTTTAGTGTTAATGTTCGCTAACAAATCGACGACAATCTGACCAATCGTTACATTTTCAGAAGTGATTTTAGGTTCTAATTCATCGTAGCTCTCAATTTGGTATTTATAGGCCGATGGAAGTATTTGTTGGAGTGGCGTAGGTAGATCCAATATATCCGATAGTTTATTTGGATCCTAAATTTATGTAAGTTTAGCTTGTATAATAGCGAAATTACAGTTTACTATATTAAAATACGTGCCTGCAACGAACTTTGCATTTTCGCAAAAGAAAAGAAAAAAGGAAATAAGTAAAATTCAAAATTATTATTATTTAAATAACATTTTAATATTTGCATAATTAATATCAATAATCATGATTAATCAATACGTAATTTCTTTATAGTCCCGATCGATCCGACTTAATTAGCCGGACGATCTTCCGGACCTAACCCGGTACACATTTTCTAGTTGCCTGGATTTCGAATAAATCAATTACAAAATTAGGAACGGTAATTGCAACAGGGACCGCTACACCGTACCCAACAGTATTTGTAGTTCTAACACCTGTAACAGCATTTATAACTATAGGGGGATCCCAAAAAACAGCTGGAATTGGAATAGTCACTTGATAAATAGGAAGTCCCGCTCGTGTGCAAGTAGTAGGGTTATTCGTACCATACAGCAAGGTGCCGAAGTCCCACTATAATATTGCAAAGTTACAACTTTAAAGCATCTGACATTTGATTATAAGAAAATATTAACAGAGATTTTACTTACATTTTTGACAGATACTCCCGGTAGATTAGGATTCGTTACTGCTACAAATCCTGCAGGTGCTGGGTTCGCACGTGTCCATAACCTTGCCTAATATATTTTTTTTAAAAAAAATTATTCTTAGAATGAAACTACAGAAAAAAATAAACAGATAACTAGACATACCAACATCGATCGATTTCCATTATTCCTAACAATGTCAAGTTTTATACCAAACGCGTATCGAACATATTGTTCGCGCATCCACAACTCACATCTTGTATTCCATGTACGAATATCCTGAGTGTTAGCTACTTCCACAATAATTCTTGCATGGGAAAAGCCCTACGCAAATATATTATTAATGTTGGAAAAGTGACTCAAAATAAGTATATACATACATTTGCGTCGCTGGGAGGGGGACCAGGATATGGGACGGTAGGTCGTGGAACATCTGTAGAATTCGGAAAAACCGCAATGTCCGGTGCTATTTTTTCTCCATGATTGATCGGGTTATAATGGTCTATAAGAAAAAAGTGAATTATTATTACAAGTCAAAGACCGATCTTGCTAAAAGGAATTCTTACAGGGTTGTCCAAGAACTTTTATCGGACCACGTATTACGCCATTGTTTGGAGTCTTAAAGTAATCCATCAATGCTGATACGACAGCTTCATGATCCGTATTGGCCATATCAACAATATACACATGTCCTTGATCCCAACGAAATTTATATCCAACTTTTTCGTTTCGTTCAAGAAAAGTGTTGTAATTTTTCAATGAAATTCCAGACCCAATCTGTAGGGGCAAACTGTAGCCATATGAGGCAACAATTAGACGAATCTTAAAGAATCTGCGTGAGGTATGCTTACCAATCTTCTCTCGGGAGTGTTTTCGGTAGCTTGGGATAATTGTGGAATACATTATCAACTTTGTTTCGAAATTTTTTACCTACCGATTTCCAGAAAGGGCTTAAAGTTAAGGACATTTTGAAAAGGGAGTTTCGTGCAAAAAATGTAAAGATAAAAATGATCACTCTTCTTTTATTCGTCCTTACATTTATCTCTGTGTTACCTTGATCCGGTGATCACAGAAATACCCACTAAAAAAAGCGATTATGGCAATTTCTCGTTATGGATTCCCAAGAGATTTGTTAGCATCGTAGAAGGCGAACAACATAGAGTTTTACTAAGATCAATGTTCATTTATTTGACATTGCATGTCTCAATATAAGTGTAATTGACCATTTCATTCTATCCAGAGACAAATGTTAGTATATAGATAGCTGAGATGAACGAAACACCAGCAAGCATTAGTATAGAAACTCTATTTCACATTGTAAAACAAGTTTATGTATTACCGAATCTTGTAATTTATTTTTTACATCAATAAATCAGTAATTCCGATGAGGATATTGCCTCGTTTTTTATCTATGCTAACGAACTTTTGAATTATTCCATCTTATATAAAAAATTATTATCGAACATGCAATCCATTGATTCATTGAGAGAATTAAATTCCAAGCTTGTAGCCGAGATTGCCGAGCTTAGAAAGGAGAATGCAAAGTTGAAACAGATTATTGAGGAGAATACAGAGCGCGATGTTAGAGTTGAGGAACTAGAGCAAAAGAATACAGAGCTTGAGGCCAGACTTGCGATATTGGAACAGGGAGAAAAAGGTATTTCTACGGAAGATGTTTCTCAATCTCCAGTAAATTCTAACGATACTCCAAAACAGATAGTGCAACAATGTGATGATACCCCAGTATCTGATATAACTGATAACACTTTAAATTCTAACGATACCCATGAAAAGTCTAACACATCTAATTCTGATATATACCAGGATTCAGTGATCCCCATATATCCCACAGAAACCATATCATTTGCTTCGCAAAGCGACTTACGTCGCCTGGATGAGAAAGAAGAAAATGAATTTCTGGATTCAATGTATAAGGAACAGGTTAGTAAAGAGATAATTCAAAGCATTAGGGAGAAGAAACTTCGGGATCAAAATTCAGACTTATCTTTAGTTAATCAAACCATTTCTTCAGCGGAATCTGAAAAGACAGTGACATCTACATCATATGAATCAAAAACCGTGACAAAATGTCACGATCAAAATAATGCCCTGGATAATACCACTTCCGAAATACTCGAATCAGATAATCAAATCATAGAAGGTTTAATACAAGAGATAACCTATGGCCACGAGCAGAGAATTGTCTCCAAAATCAATCCTTTATCTTCAATTAATGGAAACAATGATGAGGTAAATGTTAGTGGTATACAGGATATAGTTCCAGGCTCTGTACAAAGTTTATCAGACTTATTTGATAAAGCAATTAAATCAGGTCAGAAACAAATTTTATGCTGGTATTATTATTCTTTAGAATTCGAAAATAAGGTTAAAAATCTTACAGCAGATGGCGAGATTAAAGATAAAACAGCAAGATCAAAAATATATAAG